TGGATTCCATCATGTTCCTCAGCTCCTTTATTTTTTATGTGTGTCTTCTCTAGAGTCATTAATCATGTCTTTCACTATAGATACCATCTTTTTTGTTATCTGAGACATTATTTCTGACTTCACTTTTTCCAGAACCTCTTTTGTTGTCTGTTCAGGGTGTCCAGGTGGTTGAGTTTCACTGTTCCATATCAATGCCCCTCGGGATTGCCTTCAGTGATCTGGAAGTCTGGTTTTGAGAGTTGTTTAGGTGTCATCTCATTTTAACCACTTCAGTCTGCCATGGATTTATTGTGGTAACTCTTTGCTCTTCCAGTGGGCTTCAATTCTTAAGAAACCCAAGAGAGGTCTTCTCTCTGCTGCTCACCACTCTGTCAATACCTGGGTTTAGAATGAGGCCCTTCTAGTTCCAGAGCTGGGCTGTTGTCTGGGTGGGCCTCTGGCTGGGGCTTGCATGCCTGTGCAGCTGTTTTCTAGGTGAGGCTTTGGATGGGCCCTGCACAACCAAGCTGCTGGTGTTGGGCTATATGATATTTTATTGTGTACATATAACATGACATTGTATTCCGTAAATGGATAGTGTCAATTTTTAATGAAAAATTTTAAAGAGGAAACTTTTTAGACATTTTACAGTTTTTCTAAATACACATATATCAGACATATTTTTTGCTTGGTTTATATAGATATATACGATTATGTACATGTGTATATATGTGTGTGTTTGATGTATATAGTTAGTTTCTTTTTCTTGTATAAAGTTTGGAAAATGGATTGTTTCAAATTTTATAACTTACAATTGGTAGGTCATTATATTTTATTAGCTATTTACCATAGGTTTTGTGGAAAATTGGTTAAAAAAAGTCCTTAACAATGTAAGCATACTTGGAAAATTTTTTGCAGTCCTAGGATTTTATGATATCTTACTTTTATAAAAATTATTTATCCAGAAAAATACAACATCTTTCAAGTCAATGACATAGGAAAATATGTGATATATCATTGTTAAAAATAATTTATGAAAATGTACAAGTACTAGTGTCATAATATTGTTTTTAAAAGATATACAAATACAGTAAACACAAATATAGGTACATAAATATGCAAAAGCAGACCTATAATCCAGAAAGTAAAAACCATTCAATGGTGATTAATGTGATTACAATTTTTTTTTCCTAAATTTTTATTAAAAGCATGTTTTCTAGATATTTGACTGGAGAGAATCACATGAATTATATTCATTTCACATATTATACATGGTTTTCAGAATTTAGGTTTAAAGTAATCATTTGTTAAGGGAACTTCTGATTATTGTCACAAAGATAACTGTACACATATTTATATGTTCTATATATGTATATACGCATCAAAATATTTTTCTTATGCAGTAGTGTATTCATTAATCAGTGTTAAATTTGGATGGAAAGTCAGTTGTATCTAATGCATTTAATGAACCTCAGTGTAATACACAATTTCATTTTTCTTTTGTTTTCAGAGAAAAAAAAGAATATAAAATACTCATTATAATATGTTTGTTAGAAGTGATTTGTTGATCAGTGTATAATGCCCAGTGGATTGGCTTCATTCTACAGGGAATCTTTTGGTGGCACTGAGGGAGTTTTCATATTAACTTCACATACAGGGAGTTTCTGTATTAACTTCACAAAATTGAAGATGGAAAGAAATAAATATTCCTCTCAAATGGTATTTTGAAAGAAAACATAAAGATACAACTGTTTGCTATTTTGTTCTTGCACCTTAAGAGTTCATGAATATTTAAATCATATGGCATCTATTACATCTTATAGGAATTAGGTGAGAATATAATCTTTTGTTTCATGTCATAATTTTGTAAAGTTTATTTCAGTATGATGAATTTCTCATGAGGTATCAAAATATGTGAAAAATATTTTTTTCAAAAGACTTATCTACCAAATGGAGCAGAAAATGATCTTGAATTTGAAAAGCTAATTAAACATTATATTTCCTCTTAATCCTATTATAAAATATGTACATTTAACCTGTGGGCTCTGCTGACTGTGAACAGCAATTATGAATAATAGTCTTGAAGAAATGCACATTAGAAAAGCCAATATATTGCAATGAAAACCTTAAAATAAGGCTTGCAAACTAGTTTAGGCACAATATCCTAGTAATTCAGAAATAGAATCAAGACTCAAAGGTTCTGAAATTTTTTAACATTTTGTTTGGTTAACACATCCTTTTTCAAGGCAATGAATTATAAAGCCAATGTTTGATGTGTCTTTAAAAATTAAAATTCATCCTAGACCTTAGAAACATCCTACAGTCAGGAAGATTCTCCAATAATTGAAGATCATCGGGTACAGGGCCTACTAGTGGATTGATGCTTTCCTCTTCATCTGGTTCTGTTTCAGATAGTATTCCTGGAAATATACAGAAAGAGTTCATCCTATCTGCAGAGCATTTCATTATTGCATCCCCCGCAGATAGAATCTGATACTTTTGGACAATTGATGCAGCACACATGACAATGATTATGATTATGGAAACACCACCAGCCATTATTCATTTTAATATCTCAGAAAAAAACTCCAGACAAATTTTCTCTTGCCCTATTCCCAATAAAGATCTACTCCTCAGAATAATTTCTCTATTTAAGGAAAAAAGGCCTAGGTGTTTTTCTATATAAAATATTCCAGTTTTTCTACATATTTGAAGAACTACATTTTTTCACGAATGCTATGTTTCTTAAATTTTTCATACTGTTTGCTTTTTTATTTTTTGTTTACAGAGAAGATGCCTTGACTAAGTTATACAGTAGAAATAAAAATATGTATTGATATGATACCCATTTGACTGGTCTTGCCATAAAAACCTGGGAGCTATGAATATGACTTGTACATATTCCCTCAACTGTTACACACTTAGGCCTGAGATTTTTAAGGGTCATCTCTTGCTTTAGAGCACAAAGGTTTAGATACTTAAAACAGAAACCAGGGCCTTTACATTGAACTACATCCTAGCTATTTTTTATTTTTAAATTTTGACTCAAGATCTCCCTAAATCATTTATTTTCTCAGGCTGGGCTTGAAATTGTGATCCTCCTGCCTTGGCTTCCCAGAGTGCTTGGATTACATGTGTCCATCACCATACCCAACCATAACCAACTCTTCGACCTGCTCTTTCTGTAGGATTGCTTTCACATAACATCTCTTATGTCCAGGATAATACTTTACAGGCTTACTAAACTCATGGGAACATTTTTAACTTAGCCCCTTTTCCTTCCTGATCTACCTTTATTTTATGTTAAGTTATTGCCTATTAATGTGTTTCTGCTTTTCTCCTCTGGTTTTCTATATAAACAATTTATAATTTTTGATTTTAAATTGAATCAAGATATTAAAAATATTAGTCATTTTTTGTTCTGTCATGTCTTTTGTAATGTACATTTCACTTGTACTTTGAAAATCCCACTCAATATGTTGAATAGGAAAAGAAACATAGTTACAACTTCTTTAGAATCAAAAACAGTCAAAATATTTAAAGACATTGTTAGATATTGAATAATTTTCTGCATGTGTATGTTTAATGATAGCTCTCACATGTATCTTTCATATGCAAGCAGGCTGATGGTGTATATGTTTTTACTTATAAAATAGAAGTTGTTTTATTGTTGTGGCTGTAATGATTCAGTTACAGAGTCTATGTGTGACTCAGCTAAGACTAACAGTGTTCTAATTTAAGATATACTAAATAATTACTGCAGGGAATTTAGCTCAGTGGTTCTGGCACCTGCCCCACAAGCGCAAGGACTCAAGTTCAATCCCTGGTACCCCCTAAAAAAATAAATAAATAAATAAATAATTACTTTACTAAATGAATTAATGATTCTGTTTCCATATCATTTATTGAAGAAAAACTTTAAAAGTTTATTAGAAAATTGGGATAATTTTGATGAATATATAATTACTGTCATATCATTATGGGATAGAAAATAACAGAAATAAAAATTTAAATTACTGTCTTATTAATGTCAAGAGGAAAGAATGATATATTTCATTAATATCAAAGATATAGCCCATTTTTTCTTCAGTACAAAAGATATGGAAGAGTCCCTGAGAAATTGAAGATGGACTGGAATTTAATCCAGTCTTGCTTTAAATGATTTTAATATAAGATATAGTATTAACTTTTCATTTTTACTTCTGTATAAATGTCTCGCCCTGTCTCTCTCTGTCCCATATATATATATATGTGTGTGTGTGTGTGTGTGTAATATATATTCATGATTCTGAATGACAAGTTATATATGTGTGTGTGTGTGTAATATATATTCATGATTCTGAATGACAAGTTATATATGTGTGTGTGTGTGTGTGTAATATATATTCATGATTCTGAATGACAAGTTATAACATCAAGAAAATTGGAAATTGGCATGTATGTCCTCATCATTAATATTTTTGAAAATCCTTATATCTCAGAATTATTTATATAATACTCTGTGTATCAGGTATGTTTTATTTTTATTTTTATTTATTTTTAAAAATTATATATTAATTGGTATATTTTAGGTATACAATTCGTTTACATTTATCATTGAGTGTTTGTACCTGTACATGATATATCTTAGTTCTTATTTTTTCCCCCATTACCTGTGTGCCCTTCATCCCCACCACCCTTCCCTATTTACATAGACTTTGTTTCCATTTTTTTTTTCTTTCTCATAATTTTTCCTTTCCCTTCTTCTCTTTCCCCTTTCCCTCCTGCCACCCCTACACCTTTGGATCTTTTCCTATTTCAAATTATCTATTATTCATTTTAATCATTTTCATCCTTATTTATACTTTCAGTTTCTCACACTGGTCAGGTATTTTTTAGAAAACAGAAACACTACATCTTCATATCTATGAAGGAGCATTGGAAATAGAGGTATGTTACGCTGTAATCCAATAGTGTTTAAAACGAATATTGGTAATCTTTTTATACCTGTTCTCTCATTGCAGTGAACAGTGTACATAGATGTAATGGAGGCAAACCAGACGCTGGTGACTGAGTTTTTTCTCAGTGGGATAACAGATCGGCCAGAGCTGCAGAGCCCTCTATTCTTGGTGTTCTTGTCAATTTATGTAACTACTATGGTGGGCAACTTTGGATTAATTTTTCTCATTTGGAAATACCCCCATCTTCACATTCCCATGTACTTTTTCTTCAGCAGTTTAGCCTTTGCTGATGCTTGTACTTCCTCCTCAGTGACCCCCAGGATGCTTGTCAATATTTTAGACAGAGGCCAAGTGATATCCCTTTTTGAGTGCATGGTCCAATATTATTTTTTTGGTTTTAGTGCAACCACAGAATGTTTCCTACTGGTAGTGATGGCTTATGACCGCTATGTAGCCATTTGTAACCCTTTGCGCTACCTAGTGGTGATGTCCAATAGACTCTGCACTTGGTTGATAAGCATGTCATATGTAATTGGTTTTCTGCACCCCATAATTCATGTAGGATTATTATTTAGATTACATTTCTGTAAGTCAAATATAATAGATCATTTCTATTGTGAAATTTTGCCACTCTATACAATTTCTTGCACTGATCCATCTATTAATGCATTAGTAGTTTTTATTTTTGCTGCTTTTATACAAGCTATTACTTTTATGAGTATTATATTCTCTTATACTCATGTCCTTGTTACCATGCTGAAAATGAAGTCTGAGAAGGGCAGAAGCAAAGCCTTCTCCACATGCAGTGCACACCTGGTCTCTGTATCTTTGTTCTATGGCACTCTCTTTGTCATGTATGTGTGTCCAGGGTCTGGTCCAGATAAATATCAGGATAAAATATATTCACTATTCTACACTATTGTAATTCCCCTGCTAAACCCATTTATTTACAGCCTAAGAAACAAAGAAGTTTTAAGTGCACTGAGAAAAGTGATAAAGAAATAAATATTTTTTTCAGAGAAACATTCAAGATTCTATTTTCTCTCTTTTAAAAATACATCATATAGGGCCGGGATTTAGCTCAGTGGTTTCGCCACCTGCTGCGCAAGTGCAAGGACCCAAGTTCAATCTCCTGTACCAAAAATATCATATAAGCCTAGCACTTGGGAGGCTGAGGCAGGAAGATCATGAATTTGAGACCAGCTTGGACTACAGAGTGAGTTCGAGGCCAGCCTGAACTACATAGTGAGACCCTGTCTCAAAAAACTAAAATCTGGTTCTGTATTTTGCACATAGTAGAGCTTATATATTTTGCATATAGTGAAAAGTTTATATATTGTTAAATAAAGGAATGGAAATTAAGGCTATACTTAGTTATTTTAGTAATACTTTATTATAATCACCATAATAGTTGATAGTGACTTTAAGGGAAGACCTCAATTATTTATTATTTTAAATCTATATTCAAAGATAAATCTTGTCAGCAAATTACTATATCTTTGTAACATAAATAAATGCTTGTATTTCCAGATATACATTTTAAAACTCTTTTAATTTATATTCTTTTAAGAGAAGATGCAATGTGTTTAAAACCTTTCTTTAAAATATATCCAGGCCCTTGTGAGCAAGGCATCTTTCAAGCCTTCACTTTATTTATTTTTTTGGTACTGGGGATTGAACTCAGGACCTTGTGTTTGCGAGGCAGGCCCCAGAACCACTGAGCTAAATCCTGGCCCAAGCCTTCACTTTAGTAGACATGTATAATTATCCAACCAATATGTAAACTAAAATAATATTGTTAAATCAAATATGACAATCCATATCCTATTAAACCATTTGAAAAGAATAATTCTATGATGTTTAGGGTACTATTGAAGAGTAGCATATTTTTACTGCAGTCATTGAAAATTATCAAAATTTAGCAATTAAAATATTTAGTGTTTCAATGTAACATAATTAGAAAAGTTTTGGCTTCTTTTAAAACTTCTGCCTTTTCATTTACTAGTATTGTTGAGTAACTTGTTCCTTATACACAGGTAGTAAATGAATATATTATTTTCTAGGATTAAAACCTACATGAAAAGAAAGATCAATTTATAATTAAATAACTTAAGTGGATTTTTCCTTATCTAAATTATGTATGCTTCCTGTGAGACCACTGTGTAAGTATATAATCTTTGTCCTACTTTTTTAGATATGGCCTTGTGAATATGTTCAATAAAGAAAAAGATTTCTGCAAATATGTAGTACAATTTTTCCTATTCTTTTTTAATTTGAAGAAGTAACAATTTGTTCAGTCCTATAACCCAAGCCCAGCATAGGAAAGACTGTCTTCGGGCACAGTATGTTTGGGGCTCAAGAGCCTTAGAACTTGTTTCATCTCAATGCATCTGTGCTGGGCTTTCTTTTGTATGGGCTCAAATCCAAGCAGTTTACTCCCTGTGATTGTAGGATCTTTGAAAAAGTTACTGTCTACATTTCACTCCAGTCCAGTCCAATGAAAAAGTTTTCTCATTTTCTAAAAATGTGCCATGTAGCTTGATTATTCTTATGCAATTGCTAATGTCAACATATAGACTTTCTCTGTCTGTCACATTTATCTCCCATTATTATTTCCAGAAAAAAACCACTACTGACTTACAGTAAAGTTGTATTCTACATGCTTTTCTCAGTTGGATTCATTTAGAACAAGTGTTATCTAACAGTCACTCCATAGAGAAAAATATCACAGGAGGTTCCATAGTCAATGAGGACAATATTATGTAAATAACAATGAACATTGAATTTCTTATTTTAACATTTTTTTCCATGACCCCTTAGGGTGGGAAAAAGCTTACACTTGTTATTTTAGAGCATGATAGTCAAAAGGTTGACTTTATAAATTTATTTATTCCTTCTTTGATATACCTCTCACCAGGCTTGGGGGACTGATTTCTGGTCTTTTTGTTTATGATCATAAGGCTTAAAGTTGCTTTCTGTTAGAAGCCAGATATGATGATGTAGTAATGGGAAAAGTCCACCTCTTTTGCTTGGGGGGAAACTGTTAAGAAAAGACAGAAGATGGCAGTGCTTGGGAAGAATCAGATATATGAATTTGAATTTCCTCATTTGGAGAGTCTAGGGATTTAGAAAAGGAAGAGGAAAAATAGATATGAAGTAGTGTGATTTCTGTTTCCATTGTAACAAACTTCCATAAAATTAGTGTTGTGAGAACTTTTCATAACACAAATTTATTATATTATATTTCTAGAGTGCACAAGTCTGACATAGATCTTGCTGGGTTCGAATCAATGTGTTGTCAGGGCTCCATTCCTTTCTGTAGGCTTCATAAGAGAATTTGTTCCATTTCCTTTTCCAGCTTCTATAATATAAGCCACCCACACTTTGGCACATAGAGCTTTTTCTCTGTTTTGCAAGCCAGCACCAGTGCATCTTCCTGTGTCCATCCTGTGTTGTCACATCTTTCTTGACAATGACTCTTTGGCCATCTCCATCTCCATCTTCTGTCAGCCACTAGTGCTGACATTAAGCCCAATCAGTTAATACAGGATAAAATCTTCTTACTAGCAACATTACTTTTCCTCTGGAACATTAATTCCCTCCTTTCAGGTAATCTAACATATTCACAACTTGTGATGACTAGGATGTGTATATCTGTGGGAGGAGCATTTTCTATCTGTCACAGACAGACATTAAAAGAGATTTTTGTCTAGAGTACAATTTATGGGACTTGGAAGGAATCACTTCTGAGTCTTTGTTCTTTATCATCCTTCATCAATATAAACTTTGTAATGAAGAATGTGTAGGCAGGACATGCTTGAATGAAGCTCAGGTTTTGAGACTACTTCTCCATCTCCACATTTTACAACCAGTAACTGGAAATCTTGCAATGTCTGAGAAAAGCCAAGATACCTACTCCTGTAGGGGATGAGATTACTTCTCATCAGTGGGTGAATTGTGACATATGAGGAACAAAACAGAGATGTGGATAGGTGATTATACTGAAAAGAACTGAGAGAGGTGAAGAGTCTTGGAAGGTAGCTAGTCTCTGTCCCAAACAAGAAAGACCAGATTACAAGTTTTTACAGACACTGACTGGGAACATGCCAGTCTAGAAGAGACAGAGGGTGTTTGTAGGACAGAGGTTGGTCTTAGTGATCTATATTCTTGCCCCAACAGATCACATGCCACCCCTGCCAACTAACTTCATATACTATTTCAGAGATAAGATAAAAAGATCAAAATTAATTTCTTTCCTGTCACTTAGGGTATGGTGGATCAACCTTGCTATAACACTCTGAGGACTGCTTAACAAAATCATTGGCTAGTATTATAGATTCAGGTAATCTCTTGGATACATTACAAATCAATGAGAAAAAGAATGGGGAGTAGGAAGATAAAGGGCAATCCATTAACTCCTTGAATTTTGAATTTTTGTTGGTAATTTTTCAGAGAGGATGCCCAATCCAACAGTGATAGCTTGTTCCATAAAGAGGTGAATTAGAACATAATATAGAGACCAGATGTAGGATGACATATACAGAGTCTTCATCAAAGTAAACAACAGCAAAATACCCCTGAAGCTTGTCAGACAGAAGCAATAGACAATGTGAGAGATCCTGGGAGATTAGAGTGTGAATTTACAGTGGTTATCTAGGAATCAACTCAGCCAGCACCTGTTTCCACTTTAGCCAGACATGAGAGATGGTGCTGCACTTTAGGGTAGGAGTGGGGATTGAGGAGAGGGGACCACAGAGAAGACTTGGGATTGGGGAGAAGACTTATATTAATGACACCCTTAGAAAGATAACTAGTCAACTTCTAGTTAAGACCCACTCTTTATTTATTCATACACAGTAAAAGTGCTGGTGACCATGAGGCTACGATCTTTGGGGCAGGGTTGGGCTGTGTAATAGATGGAAGTGATTGTTAATGGGAAGAGGAGCTTTCATCCAAAATCCCATTTTCATTAGTGAAACTAAAATAATTAGTAAAATAGAAAATTAGATACAAAATAGGGTTCCTTTTGGAAGTGGGTAGAGTTCCTTATGGAAGTGAGTGGAACTCAACAAAATAATTAGTCCCAAGTGGACTTCAGTTTACTGGAAGGAAGGGGTAACTTGGCTAAGATGACAGTATTAATTTGTTGCCTGACTTACTACAGAGTTATGTCTGCAATTACTGTCATTTTCCATACATCAGATATCCATATTTTGATTTGTTATTGAAAAATGCAAACAGAATGAAGAGGTTTACTTTCTGACTTCAAAATAGAAATTTGCATTGAAAGAATATTTGCTAAATTTCTTTATCCTTAGTGGATTAGGAGCTAAGTTAGGAGGACTTATACAGTTTTTTAAACTGTGAAGATAACTGTATCTGCTAGTAGTATAATTTTATGGTATAAAAGGACATGAAATAACAGAAATAAAAATTGGTCATTATTTTCTCACTTGAGAAGAATATGGAGTTATATAGTAAAGGAAAGCAGTTTAATTACTGTACCCCCATTTGATGTACAAGGCTCAAATTTGGAATTGGGGGATGTATACATAGCTTTTCTGCAGCCCAAGGAAAGAGTCTTCATCCTACTCTTTTTTCCTACTCTTATTTGTTCCTACTCTGTATTTTGGCATGCTATGTAAATAGAAAACTTTTGATACCCAATAAAGTACTATTGGTACCTTCATAAGTTCTATTACAAAAACTTAGCTGAAAATCATAAGTCTGACTCTTAGTATTAAGAAAATGTTATGGCTTTTCATACTATGGCTGTAACTCAAGATATACCTACTGTATCCAAACTGCATAACTAGAAGGAATTTCATCAGTTTCATCCAAGTCATACAATTTTTGACAATTTGTTTAAGAAAAATATTGTTCTCCCTGATATCCTGGATGGCAGACACCTTTGGCAGCACCACAGGGCACTATAATATAAACACACATGTCTGCATTACTGGGAAGTCCACCAGTCAAGAGGGCATCCATGGGCAGATCACTGC